TTAATCGTTTTGATCATTAATATTATATCATAAATATGACTTAATTATTATTAATCATTTTATATCATCACTAAATTGAGAAACTTGTACACCTATAATACAACATGAAAAACTCCCAGCTTCATATAGGCAGCATTTCACTTAATTCTTAAATCCATTCTGGGGCCAAAGCAAAAAGAAAAATGATGCCCAACTTGTCCTGCCATTAAATACCTGAGGCATGAAACTGCTCCTGAGTAACACCCAGTGCTACACTGAAATGGCTGTAATTTTCCCCATGTTGTGCCAAGATCCAACACCTGTCTGTGCAGGTAGGGTCTTCTTACCCCCCAGAACAACGATCCCAGATAATTCACCAGGTAAATGAAGGAAGAGGAGAGGAACCAGTCGGTGCCCTTCAGCCTGGTTATTAACAGCTGACCTGAGCTTGTACAGCTCAGGCATGTCCAGCTAAATAGCAACAGATCCAAACAAAAAGCTGACCTTACCGTGACACGAGGTGAGGATGGTGAGACACCCTTCAGATGGCTGTTTGTGAGCCGACTGGAGTTGGGATACAGCAGTAACATTTCAGTTCATTCATCATCCAGATTACCCCAATAGCTCATTAACTTACACCTAAGAGTTATCAAATGAAGTGTTTCTCTGATAACGGATAGGCCATTTTTCTTCACCTTATTTTCACTGCTAATTTTCATGGAAGTTCAATAATGAACTTCGGTATTTGAAAATCTGATTCCCATTTTATTGGATTATCTAGGATAATTCCCCTGTTTTCTTTACTTCTTGCAATAACACCTGCATTTATTTAGTGTCCTAATACGAAAAACTCTCAACCATAAACTTAGTATGAAGCGCCTGTAATTACATCTATATTGAAAAACAGCACCAATAAAAAAAAACAAAAAGAACCTAAACCAACAATAAACCAAAACAATTAAGAGCTAAAACATACAGTAATTCCCCTTACCCAGGTAAAATTATATTCTATCAGTGCTGAGAAGAGTAACATTAACATCTCATGTGGTGTATACCACCACATTTCTTCTGGATTGAGTTGTGCCCACTTCCACCAACAGTTGTCAGCCTCTAACATGCTTAAGAACAAAGTATAATTGCTTCAGACAATGCTAGCTGTATCTATTCCAGTTTAAAATCTTAACAAGTTCATTTAGAATTCTGGAACTGCACAGAGAAAATGGTAAGAGAGTGGAGCAGATACATTATTCCACACTGTTTAAACATTTTAGAGATTTTTGCATCTGGAATGGAGTGCTGAACAGCAAAAAACAGATATTGCACCCTTAAGCAAATACCTTAAGAGAGATTTTAAATAAAAAGGCAATAAACATATAAATGCATCAGATCACAAAGAATTACAGAGTGAAAAATTTGTCAGCTATGAAGAGCAACTTTTCCCAGTTAGAAGGATTAAATTCATCCAGAGGAACATTTGGGCACATTTCTACTTTTGAGCATAAGTATATTTATTACTGAAGAAAAAGGGTTTATGAACTGAAACTCTTCCCAGTATCAAAAAACCCACCCAAATTAATTATTTTAAATACAAGTAAAACATACAAAGGGAGAAAAATGTAATTCTAAATAATAATCAATTCTGCTCTGTTTAATATAAAGTTTTGAAAAAAAATCTGGAAAATAACTTAGAAGGGGAAATAAAAACAGTAATGTCCATCTGTCTCTGGGTTTCAATATTCACTTTTTTTTTTCTTTCTTTTACTCTGGAACTGCACTGCATTTAGAACTTGCATTAACCAGAACACCACCAGGTTTTCAAACTGATTGTTTTTGCTTAAGAAGTCCAAAGTCTTCTAATCTGAATTTCTTAGGATTCCAGAATCATCATCTCATAAAAGACCAATTTGTCTTTTCAACTAAAGAATCAGCTTCCTTCTGGCATTTTTATTTTAGTAAGCTGTTTCCATACTGCTGAGTCACATCCTTCTGCATAAAAATTCAGGAGCACACAATATTCTATGAAACGGGAACACGAATAGGAGCATTACTTTGAGAACATTTATTTCTTAAGTCTAAATTTCATGAGAAATTAGGCTGTCTGGTCTCTTCAAAAACTTCAAACTACTCAACATTATCCAAGAAGCTAAAGGAATAAGGAGTCTGTAAAGCTATCACCCCATTTTAAGCAAAAGAGTTATCAACTCATGAACCTTACTAATAATTCTTAATGATCGGTATACATTAAAAGTTTAACAAGTTCTGCAATTCTTCATTTCGTAAGAATCAGAAACGAACATACAGATCTCTGATTTTATATTTGGCAAAGTGTCCTGGGTTCAGCAGTAGCAGTCATCTTTCTCCTTCTTAGTAGCTAGTGCACTGCTGTGGTTTTGACTTTCAGCCTGGGAACAACACTGACAACATCAATGTTTTTAGTTGCTGCTCAAATGTTTAGTCTGACCAAGGACTTTATGAGTCTCATGCTCTGCCAGGGAGGAGGGGAAGCCAGAAGGAAGCAGAGACAGGACACCTGACACAAACTAGCCAAAGATGTATTCCATACCACAGCACGTCATGCCCAGGATGTAAACTGGGAGCTACCCGGAAGGGCTAGTTCACTGCTCAGTCAGGCTGGGTATCAATGGGTGGTATTGTAGTCTCTTCCCTTGTTATTTCCCTTATCATTATTATTATTGGTGGTAGCAGCAGTGATCTGTACTATACTTTAGTTACTGGACTGTTCTTACCTCAATTTGTGGGAATTATATTCTTTCGATTCTCCTCCCTGTCCCTCCAGGAGTGGAGGAAGCGGGGGGAGTCAGCGAGCGGGCTGCAGGGGTCTGAGTTACTGACTGCACTTAAACCACAACACAAAGATAATGGCTGTATGCAAAAATTATTCAATACAAGGAACTCTCCTCAGGGTACTAACAATCTACTGCAATTTAAAAAATAAGGTATGTATGGTTTACACGTTTTTTAAAACACAATTAAAAATAAAGGTTTTTAACAAAAAGAAAAAAAGTGGTAACATATGTATTTTTAACACTTAGCTCTTCAAGGTTATATAGAACCAAGGAGTCCAGGACAGGGACACTGAATAACAAAGCTAACATAATGCAGGATTAAATAATATTATATTCAATTCTAACTGTAATTAATTGTATAATATTCATGCTAAACAACTTAGGAGCAATGTCAGCAAGTCTCACAGGCACCTGGCCTACTTCAGAGGTACTAATGAATGTGAAATGTGTATAAAGTTTATTCCATTTAGGGGCTGCATATCGGTGTAGGATCATTCAGACCCTTCAACCATGCATAAATGGTAGAGAAAGGGACGGAAAACAGGATCTTGAGCCAGTGTCTTCCAGCTTCTTGGGTGGCTGCACCAAGGGAACAAGCAGTTTCTTGGACAACTCAGATGTTTATTAATAACCAGAGGCTGACATTTTACAGCCAGGAAACAATGACAGCACAAAGACAGTTGGTGTCTGTCACGTTGTGCAGCATTCTGTCACAGGAAAAATTCATTTGTCTGCAGAAAAGTTACCATCAGTGAAATAAAATTTAATCCAAAGTCCCTTAAAATTGCATTGTTGAGACTTAGCATTCACTCCCAGAACAATGACAGCAGCATCTTCAGAAAAGGAAAATGGAAAACAAACCAACCTTAGCATCCTGAACTAGTTCTGCTAACCTTATCTCATGACAAAGAAACATACTTAGCCCCCAGAACAGCATTTTCAGGTTATGCCACTGTAGCCTTTACTTATTTATCAACAAACCAAAAAGCATGCAGATTTAGGCTGTAACAGTTTCAATGAGACATCTGCAGCAGCAAGGCCGCTGGCATTGCCCCTCTGCATGAGGTTGTTGTCCTGCAGTACAGCTGGCAGAAGCAACATGTGTGAGCACTACTCAGCTGTCACAGACTGAAGGTTGTCAGCGTAACCCAGGTTGATGAAACACAGACATGGATGTATGATATGAAGTACCTGGAGGGTCATAGTGCTTTCAAGTACTTTGGCTGTCAGCAGAAATGCAGACAGAGCCTTCAGATAAGAGGTGCTGTTACAAGAACCTCCAATTTTTGTGTATTGTCCTGACTGAACAGAACACTGCCATCTCTTCTCTAAGTCAGTGCTTTTCTGTATCTTTTACATTCCTGTTCTAACTGCAGCAACTCCCAAGTAAGAGATAGAAAATGTACCTATTTCAGCAGCAGTGTCTATTGTTTTGCTCTACCACACACACTTTTATACCTTCTTTGGGATAATGTAAGAGCTTGATCACCTTGCAGGTCTTCTGCTTCATCAAAAACAATGGGATGGCCTGTGACAAAATGAGCTCTCTATCAGCTTTTCCTCTGCACTTTGATTTTACCCTTAAGTTTTCTTAAGATGAAGTCTTGACCTGACCTGACCTTTTGAAACTACGACTCATATTTACGTTTACTCTGAGCCAAATGCACATCACAAAACTTCACTACATTTGACTTGCACTATATGTACTCATATGAATAATTGCAACCTCCAGCTGGATATTTGTTTTAAAATTCAAACACATGACTACTATGTGTTACTCTGGTTTGTCCTATGCTGTTTATATAATTTCACTTGTTTAAGTAATTACTCCATAGTCTGGACCTCAGCATACAACTATGAGAAACCAAAGTTTAAATAGTCATTGATCAGCAGGATATATAGAAATATCCAATTACATTGATCTTTGAGAAATGTTGGTAATTTTAAGCACAACTATGATCTTTCCTTTTTGTGACGTACAGCACTGAACTTTTCTGCGTGACTATGTTCTGCAGATACACTTGTCAGATACTGGTTTAACTGTTAATTATGACACAGATATCTATGATGCAGAGAGAAGGTTAAGAAACCAACAATGAACAAAGCAATGACCACAGCACTACACAAAATGTTGCAGACACAGTCACTGGTTGGCCTGCCACAGACTATCAGGATACTCAGGCAATTATTTCAGCATTTAAAGTTTGCACTTACCGGCCTCCACAACGTTAGAGCAATTGGGGTCTGAGAAGCCTTCAGGACACTCGCATGAGTAGAAGTCATCATTCAGCCCTGACAGACAGATGCCACCATTTTTGCATGGGTTGGAGTCACACACATCCCCTGTGGAGTGAAAGAAAAAGAGAGATCCTTTACAAAACTCTCAAAAAGTTATGCGCAAGCTACAAGTATGGCAAATGGCTGATAACCAAGAACAGAAAGGAATGACTAGCTCTATGCCTTTTAGATACCTTTTGGCTAATTCCATTTTGTATTTATTTAACAGCAAACCTCTGTGTAATCATCTTCCACTAGCCCTTTATTTAATAAAATACAAAACTTTCAGATGCACTGACAACTATTTACTTGAAAAGTAAAACCTAACAAAAAATAATTTTTTGCTTTCTCTCATTTGAAATTATTCAGGATATAAACTTGGAAAGGTATTTCTCCGCGATTTGAAAAACTGAATGGTGGTTTCAGTTCAGGCTACTGACTTACCACCTAGGCTGTAAGCAGAGAACTGTGGCTGTGGTTACATCATCATGTGCTCCAGACTTAGGCACTCTTAAATCACTAGGTGGCACAGATCTGATCCAGACCAGCCACTGGCATGCAGCTATATTTCTGCTGAACATAGAGGATGGCGTTCAGGCCAGCAGTGTGCTTATGTGTTGGCTTTACGTCATTCACACAAAGACCAATTATGTGTGATCCCAGGATGAAGTTTGATGGTACAAAGTAAAGCCACTTAAAGTCTCTTGAGCAATTTTATTTTACCCAATCAACGATATTCGATCTGGAACCCTTTAACTGGAGCTGCTGTATGTTCACACAGTGCCTGAGGGAAGCTTCCACTATGACTTGTGACCCACCAACTCCATGGCAGGGATGACTGAAGGACTTGAGTAGCCACAGTCCCTCCAGTGCTCCTTGACAGTCTCCTTCCTGTTCCAAGGAAGTATATAAAAGTCTCCCATAACTCATTTTGATTGCTGAATCAGAACAAATGAGTTAGAAACAGAGCCATGCTTCACTTCAAAACTATACTATGAACTAGCTATGCTTCAAAACTCGCTTCAATAAAGGGCAAGCATTGGCAGAGTGGGTAACATCAGCCTGCCTGAACAAGCAGATTTCGCTCATTTTTCAGTTGCTCTTCAGTGATTTCACCCTACTCAGCTAACTAGCATCAAGGTGATCAACAGCAGAAACAGGCAAGGTCTGAAAGATGCTCTACAGGGCTGCTTGATATGGCCAGAATTTGAACGAGCCGCCAACATTACCAGCGTGTACAACACAGTATTGTGATTTCCTATCTAGGATTATTCAAAACCAGCCTTCAGGACAAGATATATGAGAGAACAGAGCGTCTGTTCAACTCTTGGAATTCCTCAGTTTTAATGCTTTTAAAGAACCCCTCCTTATCACAGTTCTGTAGATACAAAGAAATACAAGATTGTATCATGTCCCCAGCAGAAAAACTGGAAGCAATTCTAAAGAATGTCCTAGGCTTTGGTCAGCTTCAATTTAGTATTCTTCTCTCAGCTAATTAAAGACGTATTTCTCTGCATTTTTATTTAACTCAAGCTTTACCTTATAAGATGGATCTGTGCAGTACTGGTTTTAAAATCAGTTTGCATAGTACAGTTTTGTTTTGCACAATTTTTGCATCTGCAAAACATCTGCAGGTAGGTAAATATTAAGAAATTAGTACCTTTTTGTGCGTGCGTCATTTTTAAATTGAAAAGTTGCCAGCCTTTTGCCATGTAATTGTAAAGAGTCACAGAAATCCACTTGTTTATGTCAGACATTATGATACATTTTTTACTACAGTGTTGGTAATGGACCTCAAATTGTTTTAAATGCCTTTCTGGTGGATAGACTTCAGAGTAGTGCCTGCTGTGATAACTGCAATCTAACAACCACTTAAGAAATTTAACGGATATTTTTATTTAATTTTACACTTCAGATTGAAGCTGCTTTCACGACACAAAGAATTGTCATGTGTCCAAATACTTGGTTTTAACAGTTTGGTCTTGAAGACTGTCCAGCTGACAGAGAAGTTGAGCTATTTGAAAAGAGTCAATGACACAAGGTACTATCTATCTAATAACTCGACATTATCTGTCTTCCTAGCTGAATCTAAATAAGTAAAGACTTTTCATTTTCAGTGCCTGTTGCCTTTTTGGGGTAGCAAAGGATGCTTGATTTCTTACTTCATGGGTCTTAGGCATTTGGTTGTAAAAGAACAACTACTATTAACTGAATGCTCCAACAACCGCATTCCCATACTTTACATTAATTTTACAAATTACACAGCACCTGCAGTAGGAACACTTCTTGCGCAAACCCATACGGGTATTTTTAAACTGAAAAGGGACATTTTTGTTACCTGTTTTTGGATTCAGTGTTCTTCTGGTTTCAATTACACAACAGAAGAAAGAAAAAGCAAAACAAAAAGGCAAAATACTGATTTCATTTGTAAGCTTTGTATTGACTGACAAGGGGAACCATCCCCAGTTTTCCATTATGTTTCTAGAAACTGTAATCTCCTACTATAACTAAACTGTGTGATTTTCATTTGTCTGAAAAATCATGTTGGCTTTTTCAGTCTGAATTAAAGTGACCTGACCTACAGTTTGGGACTATTAAAGCAGATGCTGTCCTCTAGCAGTAATCATTTATTTCCATGTTCAGCGAATAGCTGCATTAAGTGCTCTCCTGACCCACCACTTTGGTTCAAATTCTACTACCAGTCACTGGTTTATACTTCTAGTTGTCATTATATGGCATCACAGAAATAAAATTACTACAGCATACCTCTGAGGAAAATGGGACACAACAAAAAAAAAACAACCAAACAAACAAGGAAAACCCCAAAACAAAAATCAAAAAAAGCAAACATAAATAAAAAACCACAAAAAACTCTTAACAAAACCAAATCAAACCAAACAACAACAAAAAAAAAAACATACCAAACAACAGAGAAAAAAAATCAAAAACATCCTAGCCTGTTTCATTCATGCAATGATAAAGAGGGTTAAAAAGGGAAACTCTATACTTTAAACTTGAACAATGGTTAAAATAATACTGTAGTATGATGGCAAGTATGATGCAGTCAGAGAAATAAGCAACTGCACAGACACAAGCGAGCAATAATTCTGCCTATAACCAGACATCAGACTGTGCAAATTTGCATACTTAAATTAGTAAAACTCACTTAAAATGTTAGTACCATTGTTTATGGCTTAGTGTCTGTGAAATTGTGCATAACAAAAAAAAAAAAAATCACCTTTGAATCAACAATATTTCCCTCAATTTATATTTTGTTCCACTCCAGAAGCCGTTCACGTTGAAATACTGAAGTCTAATTTGTTACACATTCTAGTGAGTTTGATGAACAGAATTATATTTTAAAGGCTCTGTTCCTAATAACAAAAACTCATATGTGCGCATTTTGTCTTAACACAACTGATTAAGGGATTTGTTATCATTCAAATACTTAAAGGTATTTTAATGATAACTTTGTTATCATTAAAAGACACAACTTTTAAACACAACAGTAGTTTTAGAATTTAACCTTAGAGTCATGGTGAATGGAACAGTAAAATAAACCCAGAGAAAGAACTGAAGCCTCTACAATAACTTACAGAATGCTGCTCTGTGCTGTAGACTTCCAATAGTGGTAGTTTGTAATCGACTGTGTTTGTGCAACAGAGTGTGCAATTTGACAAACTTCTATAAATTAAACAGACTTTCTAAAAGGAACTCCATTATGCAAAAAGTACCAACAAAGGCCACTTAAAATTATAATTTATTAAATGTTCTGAAAGGGGTCCAGTAAAAATGAAAGTGTCAGGTAAAAACAGTAATTCATGGTCTTCTTTACTATGTCTGATTAACCTTGCATTTTTTATTGTGTGGCTACCCAAACATTAAAGTATGCCTCAAGACTGGATATAAAATAGGTACTACAAATACAGCTGTCTTTCAGATGTATTTCATTCTCAGGAAAATCCTGGACAGCAGAATCTTCCTGCATCAAGCTACTGAGATTTGGTGAAAGGATCTGTGAAACAGAATCAGCGAAGGGTACGCTCACATGCTGCTCCCCCCAGCTGGCAGAACTCATGACCGCTTTCCATTTACCTCAGATTTTTAAGTCATGTTATACAATTGTACATATATATAATTTTACATATATATGTGATTTTACATTATATATGATTTTATACATATATATAAATATATATATATATATATACACGTATGTATTTCCTCCTTTTATCATGAAATCATACATGGAAGAGTTAAGGCAGAAATGTAATCCACATTATCCCAATCCAGACTGTATTGAGGAGCAGACAAAAGACTTACGTGACTTATATCTGGGTCGGAGCAATCCCAGGCACAGCTATAGGTTGGGCAGAGAAGAGATTCAGAGCAGCCTTGCCCAGAAGGACTTGGGGGTGTTGGCTGATGAGAAAATTAACATGAGCTGGCTTCAGTGGGCGCTCACAGCCCAGAAAGCCAACTGTATCCTGGGCTGCATCAAATGGAGCATGACCAGCAGGTCGAAGGAGGTGATCCTGCCCCTCTACTCTGCTCTCACGAGACCTCACCTGGAGTATTGTGTGCAGTTCTGGTGTCCTCAACATAAAAAGGACATGGAACTGTTGGAACAAGTCCAGAGGAGGGCCACGAGGATTATCAGGGGGAGCACTTCCCGTATGAAGACAGGCTGAGAAAGTTGGGGCTGTTCAGCCTAGAGAAGGCAAGACTGTGGAAATCTCATAGCAGCCTTCCAGTATCTGAAGGGGGCCTACAAGGATGTTGGGGAGGGACTCTTCTCTAGGGACTGTAGTTACAGGACAAGGGGTAATGGGTTAAAACTTAAACAGGGGAAGTTTAGATTGGATATAAGGAAGAAGTTCTTTACTCTAAGGGTGGGGAGGCACTGGAATGGAAGTTGTGAATGCTCCATGTCTTGCAGCACTCAAGGCCAGTTTGGATAGAGCCTTGGGTGACATGGTTTAGTGTGAGGTGTTCCTGTCCATGGCAGGGAGGTTGGAATTTGAGGATGTTAAGGTCCTTTCCAACCTTAACTATTCTATGTTTCTGTGATTAGAGAATACTACATATGGGGGATTTTTTTTTTTTTTTTCCTCACGTCTTTATATTGTTTGGAGCATTATTAAGTCAAATAACCATTTGAGTGCATTGTCCATCATTGGAAACACTTGCATACTCAAAATTTAATTAGCAACCCCACATACTTTTCCAAAATCAGAAAAAAATACATCGGAAAAATCAAATAAAATGGTGAGTCTAGTAACCAGTCTAGTAAAATCAGGCTTTTTTTTTTAAGGCTACGGCAGCTTTTGTCCATAGTGAATAACTCAATCAGTGAACCTGGGTCGCTTTTATTAGAAGCACTTGGAGATGAACTGTTCTGTACATCCATCATGCTCCATGATGTACCTTCTCAAAACCACTCCTATGCCACATTCCTTTTCAACCAATTACTGAATGTACAACTACTCTTTCTTTCTATAAGCCTGGTGGAAAGGAGGGCAAAAACTGTAAAACCACTCTTTGTCAAACTTTATACTTCTATATAGCATACTTTTTGATCTTATAAAACCCCACAAAATGTTATATGATTCTTGACTGAAGAGCACAGTACTTGACAGCACTTGACAGCACTTAACTTGACAGCAAAGGACATCCTGAAAAAAAGGAACTCAACTGCTGCGTATAAATAATGCAGCACACCATGATGGTAAGAGTTAGCCCATCAATCCTTGTCAAGAACAGAAATCCACAGGTTATGAAAACAATTTTTGTGATATGACAGCTAAAGAAGATGCACTGTGCAAACAGGAAAGTGCTACCCACAACCACGTGCACACACTAATACTAATACTACTACAACTACCCTTTGTTGTAAAATCACATAAACTAGCCAGCAACCATTACAATATGCAAATCAATTTGTAGCTCACTAATTTTCTTCAGTGGAAAAAAGAAAAATAATTACTTAGTCCAACATTTTTACTCTCTAACATTATAGCTCCTGCAATAGGAAAACCTGCCAAAAGCTTAGGGATGGTACTCTGAATTAGGCGTGTGAGAAGTATTTCAGTTCCCACACACAAAATCATTAGACTGACATGAACACAGTTTCCCTCAACTATCTTATAACACCTAGAATGATAACAGTTGTGATTTCTGGCAAAAGTTTTACTGTAAGAAACATCTGTTCAGATAATGAAATGATAACAAAGACAGAAACATGACATGGAATTTCAGAACTAGAAGGAAAAAAGTGGTAGAAGAAAGATGATTCAGGTGTTTGGGCACATTTTCTTCCGTAATTTAAGAAGAGAGCATACTCCATGAAACAGAAGGTGTGAATAGAAAAAGTCAACCTTCTTTATTCTTTACATATGTATACTAAATATAAATATGAACACATTTAATATGCATTACATACTGATGCACCTAAATGTACAGAAGCTGATACTGAGGTGAACATACTGATACTGCAGGAGTCCAAGGAGACACTGAGAGCCACTGAAACAAAAGGCGTGACAAAATTTGCAAGTAAACAGGTGCAAAATTATGAGTTCAGGGTGCTAGCCACACTCTATACTGGTATGCTATACAGTGGGTGTTTTGTAGCTCAAGCACATCACCACTGATAGGAAGTAGTAGACCATCACTTCTACCTAAAGAAGCAGCTATGCATTTATTCAATTTCCTATATTGCTACATATGGCTTATTTTAAAAGCTCTTTCTAAAGAAATAAAATTAATAGCTATTTCCTTTCATAAGAATACAAATTGTTGAAAAGAAGAAATCCCCAACTGGTACCAAATAATAAGCAGCACTGAAAATAGACATTTGGTATGGGGATAGTAAGAACGAACTTCAGTTCTGAAAGCCCAGAAAAGCAACTAAACTTTAGAGGAGGACTGAGAAAGTACTTGCTACCAGTAGCAGTTTCACATTAAAATCATTTTCAGAAAATGAGTTTTAATAGTTTTCTGATTTACGGAATCATCTGTAAAGTGTCAAAGTTCAAATCCATTTCTCCACAGCTGAACCACTACTGAGAAGCAGAACTATAAATCATATTGAAGACAAACCTGTGCAGATGCAAAATGGGAACATGAGAAAAAAAGAGCTCTGCACTTCTTCCAAGAAAACTATAAGCTGTTTTTCAGATTTAATGTTGAAGCAGACAATTTGTTTTTCCTAAGGTAAAAGGACAGTTGAATAATTAACTTGTATCCCTTTTTATTTGAAATGGAAACTTACGTTTCTAGGCACCAATAGTTCATCTACATCCTTCTGTTGTTTTCTAGCCTGATTTGCCTACTATGCAGGTAGGAGGTTCAGCTAACTTTTTAGTTAGAACATTCATGGCAGGCTGTTTAAATGGTTTTAGAAAATGGATAAACTGATGCCATCAACTCTAAATATCTGCGTATGAATTGGATGGGAAAGCTTACAGGAGAACATAAATCTCACAATACTAAACTCATGATTTTACCAGAGATCTCATGAAAACAGAGGTAGCTCCTTTGACTAAAACCCTCTGGGATCAAGAGATTGCATGCTCTTAAGCTGTGGCTTGTGCTTGTAGAGGACAACTGCAACATACTCATGTAAACCAGATGTAAGCATTTCTTTAGATTTAACTCTTTCCAGTCTTGTAATCTGGGGAGATGTAGCAGCTGATTTCTGAAGACCTGAGATGGTATTACGAAAAGAAAATCAGATTATTCTAAGCAAAGAACTAGTATCACTCTGGGACTGGACTAAACATTAATCCTGGGTGAAGATGAAGTAGTGACTTAAGCTTTGGATTTAGTCTAGCAGCACAATGCTGTAAAAGTGTGTCACTATTTTCAGGGTTAGAATAGAGCCCTAAAGTAATGTCTGCAGAGATTAATTTCTACCATAATAAATCCCCTTCTGCCTTAAAAAAATTATAATCTCTTCCCTTTCTAAAGGTCTACAGTATGAGCTACTTTATTCATTTGAATATGAAAGAGCAGTAGGTCACTGTACTTCAGCCTCCTGTGTTACACACTGTTTAAGCATCTGATGTTTGACAATATGAAATATATGCAGGAACAGGAAACAGCTTAAAAAGAAAACCCTTCTCTCTTTCACCAGTCACAGACAGTTCATTTCTAGGTCAACTGGCTCTGCAGAGGAAAAAGACTAACTATTCCTGTGATTAAAGGAGGAATATGCTTTATGTAATGCACTTCCGAATATTTTTACAACCTGTGGAAAATTCTTCATGCACACACGGACCCGAGGGTTTGGGGAAAGTTGCCATCAGTTTAAGACATTGCTTCATCAAAGACGATGTGCTGTCTCAAATTGATCAGCTGAAAGTACAGGTGCACCATTCCTAGCACCCAACCTCAGCTAACAGCAGGGACGCTTCCTGCATCATTGGAAGAAAGATAGTTAATAGACCCCTTTAATGAAGACATCCTAATCCATACCAGCACAACCTTCTACAGCATCTTTTCTCTTTACACGCTCAACAAAGCTGGTAAAAAATACCTATGCATTCCTTGCACGTGCTCATTTGACTGTAACTGTCATTCATGTCAGCTGTGTTTATACAATTATTTGCCACTTGCTAACACATGTGAATCAACTTGTATTTCTGCACTTGTTCAGATCCACAGGGTGAGAGAGGTTTATGAAAAGGGAAATAATAAGAGCTTAAATTGAGTCTTCCTGTACAAGGCACTTAGGCTAAACTTGTCTATCCATTAAGTTGTTTTGTTCAATTAAAACTTTCAGAGAGATATCAAGCCATGACAGGAATACACTATCATTTCCAGTGACTTGTCCTTTGTTTTCAAAGGTGATCAGGAGATTTTCAATGGTATATTTACTTGGAATTTCTCAGTAAGTAAAATATTCACATTTCCTGCTAGAAAATACTGTTCTGCGTATCCCCTGACAAAACTTCACTGATTCCTCTCAAAGTCAGCTGGGCTCCTGCAGGCTTCTCCACTGACTGCTAGTAGTCTCCACTTATATATATCCCTGACCATCAGATGGTCAATACATGGATGCATATTTCTCATTTGACT